CCCCCCATTACTTTATACTAGTGTCTGTAAACATGCACATCAGAGTTTGGTGTACATGGTTATTCTGTAAAACAAAAGACATTCTTGTTTGTTTAATGCTTTGATACAATGATAGTACAAGTTAAATGTCTCTGGGGTGCAATGTGCACTCTGAGGTACACTGTGGAATAAATGGAACTCGACCACGCATGTTAAACTTGAAGGAGCTTTAACTTCCCAACAAAGGTGCTTGATTTTAAATAAAACCCACAACAGTGCATCACTTCATGTGTAAATTACTGTTTTACCTTTTGTTAATGAATCTCTTCTTCTCTGAACTCATAATAGTGTTGTAATCCGCTTGTGTGCTTTTCTTTGTAATTTCATTAGGTAATTTATTCTTTTAAAATCCAAACACGAATATAGGTCAGCAGGAACTGTTAAACAATATCAGCACGGTGCCAAAACTTCATCCATGTTGTAACTCTTCACTCAGTATTCACCATTTGTGGTTAGATCTGAACCTTACAGACCGCTGTTCTGATGAAAAAGAAATTAAGTGAACCTATTGTGGAATGCTTGAGGAAGAAGGAGAAGAAGATACCTAAGGATGGTGATTAGAGGCAGATAAATTCATGTTTACAGTGAGCCGGTGGGTAACATTAATTACACTGCTACAAAGATATTTCTCTATAATTGAAACTTTTTAAAAAATCCTGCTGTTTCATGCAGCATACAGAAACAAACCCCAGCAACATGCATAATTATGCATGTGAAACTGCAACTTTATTAAAGCAGATATGGTCAGGATCCCATGGCAAATTATATTCTCTGATTTATTAAAGGCTACACAGAACTTATGACAATATATTAGTATTTACATAATAAACACAAGATTGCAGTTGCATGGGTGGAGAAGAGTAAACCAGGCAACTTGGTTTTACAGTGGCACAGTGGTTGGCAGTGTTGGCCTCATAAGAAGAAGTTCCTATGTCTGAATCCACTGGCCCTCTGGGACCTTCCTGCTCAGAGTTTACATGTCCCCCATGCCTGAGTGGACACTCCGGCTTCCTCCCAAGTCCAAACACATGTGTGTTAGGTTAATCCATTGTTTTCATGTGATGTCAGAGCTACTGGGATATGCCCACCTGGAGGGCAAAAACAGTACTGCGGCCATGAACATATGCTACCTGCGTCACTAAAACTTTCGCTTGATAAGGCAGTGAAGGACAAGGCTGTCCCAGACCACAGTGTTTGGTCACAGATAGCCTTCTGCCATGAGCCCAGGAGATTGCTGCTACGAGCATGGGACCTTCATCTCAGCGTCCAACTAGATGTTGTGCTTAGGATCCACGGCACTCAGATTAACTTAGCTCACCACTACATTTGTGGCAGCAGGACCCAGGGTGCTACAAAAGGTTGGCGTCACCCTATAGACATGAAAATTCTTCACCCCGCCATTTGCAGAATGTACAGGGGCTCAACCAGCACCACCTCAAACAACCAAGTATCATGTATATCAATCTATTCTGTTCAGAAAACCACACGCTGTAAAACAATTAGTAGCTGCAGTCAGTCTTCCCAAAAGAGAGTAACGCCCCTGGGAGTTCTATATGAGAATGTATTTTAAATGTATATCTTCATATTGAATTTCGATATTTTTGTTTCTGTTGTCACTGAGATGTGTAATTTTCTGAGGTGTTGTTTTATTTCTAATTTCTTCAGGCTGATGAAGTGAACATAAGGTAAACTGATGTAATTAAACTCAAGGTTTATTACTGAATTCTTTCTTTAAATAATTAACTGATACTTTTTTAGACAAGAATTTCCAGAAAGTGAAATAAAGAGTGAAGGGGGGATTTGGGTTGCAGCTTGTGCCGGTTACCTGTTAGCACTTTCTGGTTAGCGTGTGCCCCCGTCCCCCTGCTTGGTAGCAGAAGTATGGCAGCCCACACATCCCAAACTTGTCTGTGTTTGGCAGTTTTGCCTTTTGAAGATAGGGACGAGCAGTGTTGCGGTGCCTGGGAAAAAACAAACAAACACACATACAAAAGACAAAACGAAGCCCAGGGTATGCTTGCTGGCTAGAGAAGCCCATCTGATGTTTGCATGAACTGCTTTTTGCCAGCACGTAGTAGGGAGACCGTGCTTGGTTTTTCTGAAAGCATTTAAGAGACCCGTCCCTCCTCCATCTCATGCTACTCAGGCTAGAATGGGGAAAATGTATGCCACTAGTAGTGGAGACTGGGTGGGGGTACCCCATGGGGTCCCCTCCCATGGGGTAAGATAATCAAACCTGTTTGAAATCCTGTCGCCCCTCAACGCAGCCTCTCACACTGCGCACGCACAAACACACAAATGAAAGAGAAAAGGTGGAGCAGCACGGCAGTGCAGCGTGTGATCTGGACACGAGATGAAGGCACAACTTGTAGAACTTTGGCAAGCTCATCTGAGTACGTAAACCTGATATAGCTCTATTTTTCTTTTGCCCCGGTGGCAGCTCTACGCTTCTGTATCCGAGGCTTTTCAATGTGGTCTCACAAAATTATCACGACTACAACAACCATGAAAAGAGTTGGATGGACATTGCTGCTCAATCACAGCTGCCTGGTCAATGTTTTTCATTAGTAATTTAGCAAAGTTGATGGTGGTGTGTGTGTGAGTAAAAGACACAAAGAGGGAGAGTGAGAGACAGCTTTTGTATGATAAGCTTCATGTTATGGACGCACAGTTTGAGCACTCAGGTCGCATCAGAGCATCAGGCCGTATAGTGTGAGACCCTGCATCGTGACCTATGAACTTCTAACCCCTGCGATTTAA